TGCCCCTTGCGGCTTTCTATTGTTTATTGTTTTTTGGGTTCAGTAGTTACGCTGCCATTGTTAAATGTTAATCGTGTCATTTTAAAATGTTTCAGATTCGTTTTTTCTGACAGCCTGTATTCTAGCATGCATACCAGTACTCGATTTCATGCATTGGGTTTTCTTCAGCCTGCGCATCAGTTTACTGTGCTGCTATTCGTGAAGGGTATTTTTCATGTTTTCTGGATCATATGTGTGTCTCGAGCCTAGGCTTGTGTTTGATCGTGCTTTCTTAAATAATTATGCTGTATTTTTTTTATTGTTTCAGTTGTGGTTCAGGAGCTGGACGGATCGTTCTCTCATACATTGCAGATCGACGACGTAGTGTCAAAGCACGACATCCAGTGTCATTCGAAAGCGCGGCGTCAGCGGAAACGGAAGATACCATTGTGGACTGGCGAAGAGGTGGATATGGATTTGAGCGCGCTCGATCCGGACAGTCCGGTACTGTGGTTGTGGCTCGATCCGGACATGGTAACCATCAGCAGCATCGACGTGCAGCAGCCGGATTATCAGTGGCAGTACCAGGTAAGGTATGAGCGCAACGTGATCGCTCAGCTGGAGGCCCTGCACGTACTGCCGAATTTCTGCAGTCTGCAGACGCACGTCGCTATTCTGGACGTGATCGAAAATGAACAGTACTATTACCGAGTGCGCTGTGCGGCGTGTCATTGTTTGGCAAAGGTGGCGAATAAGCTTATCACGGCACTGACCGGTCCCCCAGCACTGATTCTGCTGTTCCGCAAGATGTTTGGCAGTAAGAGTTGCGCTACTATCCCGCGGCAGAATAACTTTTCTAACCTACAGCAGTATTTCGTTATGTTGGCGATCATTTCGTCGATCGCCGAACTACGTGGCCCGAATGGAAAGTGCCTGATGGATACTTGCATCTTTCTGTTAGACCTGCTCAAGTACAACGACAACTCTCAGAACAAGTACTCAGACGACTGCTACCGGGCGACGCTGGTCGACGCACTCGGCAGGGTGGTGGGCATGCCTGAATCCGCTTCGTTCCTGCACTTTTTCCAGTCACCGACCGCTTCCGCCTCAGATCTCTTCGAGGGTGGCGCTGGCGGTGTACCGGAAGTGGCCAGTAATCTGGTCCGCCGCATGCTCAACACTTTACTGACACAACTCTCATTGGACGTCTTGCGGCCGTCCTACGGTCGTGTGGTCACTTGGAAGTGTTTGGAGGCGCTGATGCAGTTCTACATCAGCCGTGTGATCACGTGTGACTTTGAAATATGGCTGAAGTTTGCCGCATGCGGCAACTTCTCTGCCACGCGCGTGCGGGCGGCTGGATGCCTGGTGAGGTTGCTGAAGGTGACCAAAGACGTTGGACTGTTCTCGAAACTTCTTGACCTGCTCGACGACAAACACGACACTGCTTTTCGTTACCGGGTCATCCGGTTGCTCTGCGACCATCCACCGTTCACACCCAAGGAGCGAGTCGGCAATCCGCTTTACTGCAAAGATACTTTCGACCGACTGTGCTCCATGTTCATCGACATCGGCCCGTTCGCTGATTTTTGGTTCCATGGCGCGCTGCTTGATTTCATCTTTCTGACCTTCGATCGAGATCGACAGCTGTTCCTGAACCTCACCAGTATCCACCCTCCTGAAGCGATGTTGAATAGAAGTGCGATTGCAGTCACAAACGAGTCGACATTATAAATTATTCTTGTTTCACATATGTGTTTTTTCACTTTGTTTGTACAGGTAAATTTTGTTTTTGTTGCTGATTTTTGTCTAATATGTCTCTGCTTCTTTTAGAGGCCTTGTTCTGCTCTGACGTCTGCTCGAATACTGTACAGATTCATATCGTCGCTGGTCGCACTGTGCTATGCTCTGCTTAGTTGTAAAGCCACGGCATGGCGATCATGCAGCCTTTTGATTGTAACATTAACGGAGTCATGCAACATCCAATCTGACGACTCATTGATGGTAGATCTCAAAGCACCCTGCCTTCAAGAACTGAAAACTTGAATCTTTTGTATACAATCCTGTTTCCATGCCTGGTGTTATCCTCGAAGTCGGCCGAAGTCGAGACTAAATTGTGTAATTGCGGTCTATGTTCAGCTACAAACTTTGGTATTATACAGAGGATGACTGGCGGCGAGCTGCCTTTTGAGCAAGTGTGTCACTATCCCCAATGATAGTTCTCATACGGCTTGCTGGAGTAAGAAATGTCTAGTAAGTGGACATCTGTCACAGAAGAGATCTGGGTCCTTGACGCTATTCATTATATTGAAACTACAATACCTCTGAGCTGAAATTGCGGCTCTTTCATGGAGCAGTAGATATAACTGGAAAAGGTACATTATTGACATGTGCTTGCCTGTTCCGGTTGCCTGCATAATGGAATCAGCGACTACGTCAACGTTTGTGATATACCCAAAAGTTGGTTTCCTAGATGGATGTTTCAGAGCACCGGAAGAATAGGCTGTTTCATGCTGTTCACAGTTTGCTGGTTACGGTTGTGTAACGTTTGTGAACTTACAGAAAGCTGTAATATATAGTTATATTCGCGTGGCTGTCCAATAAATGTATGCTTAAAATCCAGTTTGTTGTTATCATTACATCTTGCCGTGTGTATTAACACAATAAGCGATGATTCCTCCTTTCCCTCCACGGATTCTCTCCCACAATCAGCACTTCTTTTCCTTTGACGTCATCTTCGTTCATACTTTTCCAGACGCATTTCCGAAATTTTCGGTCGTCTTTCTCGCCTTGTCGTACCATTTTAATCTAGGCTGTGTTTCTCCGTTGTTATGCGTTCATTCTGCAATCACATCTTAAAACAGTACAAAGAATCTTTCCCTCTTACTTCCCTACCATTGTTTGCCGTTCTTGACTCCTTTAATCCTGAAGGTACGTTGTGACAATAAACTAAAACAGCGAAGAGTGCACATTCGAAATCCTGCTGTATCTATCCCTGGCAAAAGACACAAGCAGACGTAAACATGCTGTTTGCCGTACCACAACGAAACGCGTTGCAATGAACCTGTAAGTTCTGTTTGGGTTTCATCCCATGAAACGACAACAGAAAATTATTAAGTGGATTCAGAATCTGGAATAGTGCGACGAACAATTCAGCCAGTACCATACGCGTTAGTGACAACATGAGTTCTCTTTTCAGTCTT